CTGGAGGTTTTGCCGACCCGTTGTACTCACAACCCCCTTGGTAATTTAGGGGACCAGACAGGGGATCTGATCAACCCCAATGGGTTCGGGGACGTGGAAGGCTATATGATTGAAGGCTCCTATCATCGTTATATGACTGCAAGAAACCCGTGCTTTGCAGCTCAAATTCCCGGCTACGACAGGTCCACCGATCAGGCTTACTCGTCTGTCTCGGCTGGCGGGAGTGGAATGCGTACAGACTGCTCTCTGGGAAATGATGCGGTATGCGGTGGCAATTTCTGGGAGGGGGGCAGCTTTCAGCTGTTGGTGTGGTACGTGAGTGGCGATTCTTGGCCGACGAAACAAGTGCAAAACTATATCAAGTTGACTGGTGATTACCCGTATGTGAACACAGAGGGTTGGTCGATCGGCTGGAGGTACTATGGGGACACAGAGTGGCCGACCTTTGCGGACGACCCGAACCGCCGGTGGCTGATGTGCGTCAAAGAAAGGGGGTAGGGCGCCGGCTCTTTGCACGCCCCCCGGATCCAGAAGCCTGTGTGCACGCGCTGGGGGGGGGGGGCGGGGGCAGGGCTGGTACCGGTGATTTGTGGATCGAAATAGCGGTGATAAAGTGTCCAACTTTTTGCAGTGACACGAGGCACCAGGAGCTCGTCGCAGCGCGACGCCCATTCGTCGGCTCCGCCCGACTCAACTCAACTCGACTCAACTCTTCTTCCGCGCCGAGCGGCCGACGCTTCGCCGACGGACGGCCGACGACGCCGGGTGCTCCGGTGTTTGCGCACGCTCGCGAGGCTTTGGCGGCCGAGCCGCGCGGCCGGCCACAGCATTTTTCACAACAGGCTGGCCTGCGGCGCGCACGCCCGCCCATTTTGCGCGCACGCGCCGCGCGGCGGCTTCCCCCTTCCCCTCCCCCAGCTGTCTGCGCGCGACACGCGGGCCGTGCTCCGCATCGCGCGTCGCGCCACGCGCTCCGTGCGACGCGCCGCGCGCCCTCGGCATGGGTGTTGGCTCTCCTCCTGCCCCGCACATGCGCGGCACGCGCACTCTCCCAACCCCCCCTTTTGTTGATAAACCGCGGAACCCCCCCCCCCCAACCTCTTGTTGACCCCACCGTCGTCGCCGCAGGCGTGCGGGACGCGCTGCTCGGCGAGCGTCGCGTGCTGCGTCGAGCGAGGCGGAGGCGAAGGCGGAGGACGCAGTGCGACGCCGGCGACGGTGCGCGCTTCACTGGTTGCAGGCGAGCTCGACGAGCCGCGCGCGCTTGCGCTGGGTCGCATCCTCGGCCGCGTGGGCTGCGCCGGTCCGCGTGGGCACCTCGGCCGCCGCCGTCGCCGTCGCCATCGCCGCCGCAACGTCGTCTTCGGAGCCGACGGCGCGCGCCCTCTTGCTGCCTCGGCACTCCGGCGGCAGCGGGGAGTCGCGCGTCGCACATCTCGTCGCAAGGCGCGAAGTGCGCGAGGCGCGCTGCATGGTGCCGAAGACGTCGCGGCGCAGGCCTCCCGGGCGGCAGCCGCACGGCTCGACGGCGGCGCGACCCCGCGCTCTCTTGGCGCCCGCGTGGACGATGGGTGCGGCGCGTCGTCGCGCGCTGTCGCGCCGCCAGGCGGCTGCGGCGCGCTTCAACGCCTCCGACGGCGCCGCGTGCAGCAGGGCCGCCCGCACGCTGGCGCGCTCGGCGCGGCCCAGCTGTCGCCACCACTGCTGGATCTTCGACGCGGCGCAGCGCTTCCGCTCTTGGTGCACCTTCGAGAGCGCGCTCTCCGTGAAGCCGTGCGCGCAGCGCGCTCTGCCCTCGGCGTCGATCCAGACCTCGTGCTCCTTGGGCTTGCCGGGCACCTTCACCGCGAGGACGTTCATCGGCTGGAGCCGCTTGGGCGTGCCGTCGCGCCAGAGGACGCTCGCGTACGGGGGCACGGCGACGCCCTCCGGCAGCGAAGGCTTCGCCTTGAGGTCGGTGTACAGGCCCTTGGCGTCGCACTGGCACGCGACCCACGACGGCTTGGCGCGCGGGCGGGCGGCGCACCGCCAGTGGTGCATCTGCGTCATGGAATGGCCGCACGGGCAGAGCTTGACGCGCTTAACGACGTCGAGCCACACGGGCTTCCCCGCCTTGGTGTCGGGCATGCGGAAGCCGAGGACGCCGGAGGGCAGCACGCGGAAGCGCGCGTCGACAGCCGACGCCTCGCGGGAGGCTGCGGTGGCTGCGGTGGCTGCAAAGGCCGCGACGCTGGGCGGCGGCGGCCTCTGACGCTCCGCGTCCTCGCCGACCATGGCGGCTGCGATCCTCTCTCGCCGCCCAAGCTCTCGACGCGGATGCCACGTTTAGCGCACGTGCGCCCTGCGAGCCACGACCCCCACGTTCAAAAGAGCGGCGCGACTGCGGGCGCGCGTTCAATCCGCTCGGCTCGACGCTCTCGTTGTCGTGAAGCCGCCTGCACGCATCGACACGTCGCACAACGGCGGCACCGGCTGCGTCCGCTGCAACTTGTGGTGCCGAGCGTCGCATGCGAAAGCCAGCGAGAAGATCGGCATCGTCGGCCTCAACAGGAAATCTGCCGACGACTCAGCTGCGGTGCCCGACTACATCGTGGCGGCCGAGAAGCTCGCTGAGAATATCCAGAGCGAACACGCTCGCTGCATCGAGGCGGTGTTGGCTGCGCAGTCAGCTGTGGAGCAGCCGTCTGCTGCCGGCTCTTCTACTGGCGTCGATCCGACTATCCTCGAGGCCAGATGATGCAGCTCGAGTCGGCCAAGGCGCGCGCAAAGGAAGCGAACGCGGCCGCGCTTATCGCGCAGCGGGCGCACGAGGCTGCAGAGGAGGAGGTGGAGAGGCTGCGCAGCGTGCTCGAGCCGAAGAGGCAGCGCACGGAGGCGACCGTCGACGAGGATGGGCCAGTGCATGGGCGGGCCGGGAGCATGGCGCGGGCGAGTGGGACCTCGCCGACCACCGGCGCGAGATGACGCGCGTGCGTAACCGGCGCGAGGTCAAGATCGGCTCGGCGGCGGCCGCGCCCGAGCCGCGCACGGGCGAGCATGGCTACCTCCTCCACCCTCGGCACGGGCTGCTCGGTGGGCTCTGCTACTGGGCGCGGGGCGTGAAAGCATACGCGACACGCATGATCGTCGGGCTCATCAAGAAGGTACAGTACAGATCCAAGGGATTGAAATCGGGTTCTGGAGGGTAGGTAGCTAATTTCTAAAAGGAGAGGTGAAATCCACCGCATTCCTGCCCCCACCCAGTTCCCAGAATCCGGCCCGGACGCGACACGACCACCAAATATGGTCGCTGCCGCGCCTCGTTCGAATGGTCCTCCACGCCGCGCCGGTCGTCACCGCTGGCTTGCGGGCTGCTGTGACGACCTCGCGCGCTGCTCGAGGCGAATTCCGCCGTCCAGTCGGCTTCGTCGACGATGTCTGCTAGTGCGCTGCTCGCGCGCGCGCTCATCTCTTCAGCTCGGCGTATCGGCTTGCGCTGCCGAGCTCGGCACTCCGAGTCGCCCAGCTGGCCTGACGCGCGCGGCTGTCGCATGCGCGCTGGCGTCGCAGGTCGCGCACCGACGCGGGAATCCATCGTAGATGGCGGCTGCGTCGACAGTAGCGCCAAGCCGCGGTCCGGTCGTCCGCCCGGCGGCCAAGCCCAAGGGCGGGGAGGGGGCCACCCGCGCTCGCGCAGGGAGGCATGTAGTAACGGCTTAACGCAAGGGAGTCTCTATGCGACGCGGCGGCGTCCTCCGGGTCCGGCGCCGTGGCGAGAGCCAGAGCTCGGTCGCGATCTCACTCATCCGCCGCCGCGAGCTGCATGCACCATGCATGCAGCGCGACTGACATGCGCTGGCCTGTACTAGTCTCGTGTCCAGAAAGAGAAAGAAAACAGACCCAAACGAGGGATGGGGGGGGGGGGGGCACAGGGTCCCCACCTGCACGAGCACGTATGTATGTAGAAAGATGAACAACAGTCAGGCAGGATTTTGCAAACGATTTTCAAAAAAACTCTTTCGCGGCTCCGTCGAGGACCGGGCGCGCCCCTTTCCCGGCGCGGCGTAGGTCCCACTCTGACGTATAGAGGGGAGGCACGGACAACGGCCCAATTCATCAATTCCACTCATCTTCTGGTGCCTAGCCCCGTGCAGCGGCGGTCCGGCAGGCTGCCCCCAAGGCCCCCTGGGCCGCTGCGGGTTTTGGAGTTATGCTTTGGCACAGCTTCGGCGATGGCGGCCCCTCTCTGGGGCTTGCATAGGCGGGGAGTCTCCCCCGCTGGTCTCCTCATTCCCTTTTTTCTTTTTCTTTTGAGAGCAGGACGCCGGGTTTGTCTTGTATGTGCGCGTCGGGCCGGGGCGTGAGCGAGGGGCAGAAGGGGCGGGGGCGTGCGGGGCAGAGTGCGTGTCGGGCCGGGGTGTGCGAGGGGCAGAAGGGGCGGGGGCGTGCAGGGCAGAGGCCCAACGTCGGGCGGCTTGTCGGGGTCCGGAGCATTCGAGGGGGGAACGAGGAGGGGGGAATGGGCGGTCGGCGACGAGTAGAGCGGCAGGCGCGTACGGGGTAGCCGTCACTTTCCTGCCTCGAAAGGGCGGGGCTGTCCCGGAAAGTGAGAAACGCCGGGCAGCGTGGCGCATTACTGAACCCTCCCATACGTGCTCGTGCTCCTCCTTCGCTGTCCCATCTCCCCACCTCTTTCCCGCCTGGGCGGGGCGGTGGGCGGGCGCGCGGTGCGGCGTGGCGTGTGCGTGTGTGCGACTGCAGCGAAGGACCGCTCGCAGAGGACCATTGGGTTTGTACTATTAACAACGAAGGCGCTCTCAAAAAAAACTCTTTCCGGGCAGCGAAGGCGGCACGTCGACGACAGATATGGAGGTGGAGGCTCGCGGCGTCAAAAAGCGAAGAACCGGTCCGAAGGCGATTGCCGGCAGCAAGCACAGCACGCTCCATCTAAGGTCTCGGAGGAGCTCACGGCCCATAAAACCCAAACCTAAAAAGGGCGAGCGACTGCGGGCCCAGGGCGAGGCGGCGGCGGTGGCAGTTGCGGCGCAGCGCGAGACGGCAAGCGTTAAAAGAATTCGCCTGCTGAGCAAATTGGCCGAGAGGCAGCGAGCAGCTGGTGAGACGGAAAGTGCGAAAGCGACAGAGGAGCATGTCGCTGCGGCTCGAGCGGCCCTGATGCAGCTCGAGCGGCCCTGAGTAAACTGCTTAGTGCTTGTGCAATCTCCTACAGAAAGTACCATTGCGCACCACGCAGCGCGCGCGTGTGTGTGCCCTCTTTCTTCTGCTCTTCCCTTTGTGCTCGCGAGTCGCGTTCACTCTCACCGCGTCTCTACGCCGCCTCATCTCTCTCTGGGCTGGCAGGGCGGCTGGTTTAGCGCTCTTCTCTCCGGGGAAGTGGGACATTACGTACGCGCGCCACATGCGCTAAGAAACAACGGGCGGTGTCGCATATTTTGCGGCTCCGCCGGATTCGAAGCAACCTCCCGCGCGTGATAGTCTGGGCGGACATGTGTGCGGTGTGAGCCCGGGCGCGCTAGCTGCTAGGCTCGCTCGCGAGCCCGACGAGCGTATGTGCATGCGTACGGGTTCGTGCCCCGCCGCACGCGCGCGCCCTAGCGCGCATCTACCGACCCCGACAGCTAGGGCCAGTCCAGGTGCTAGAGGATCTTCTTGGCCTGGAAGAAGGCCTTGAGGTAGTTGATCTGCCACAGCCCCATCACTAGCAGCGTGCACATCATCGCAACCTCCACCCACACGAGCCGGCCGCGTGTGGACGCGTCGAGCGCCTGGGAGACGGAGGTTGCGGCGGTGGAGGCGTGGGAGCGCGGGTGACTGCGAGGGCGTGGGAGGCTGGGTGGCGGCGGAAGCGGCGGCAGCGGAAACGTGGAGAAGGGGGCGGCGGGGACGGAGGCGGTGGTGGAGGTGGTGGTGCGAGCGGTCCAACAAGGCGCGTGTTGAACGAGGCGAGCGCTGGCGATGCGCTGCCTCTCGGCTACACGCGCGCCTCCGCCTCCTCCGCTCTCCGCCGCATCGTCAGCATCTCCCCGTGGACGTGGCGTGCCAGGTTCTCCATCTTCTCAATCTCCTGCTCGAGCGCCTCGACGTGCTCGCGCTTGGCGGCCAGGTCGTGGTCCGCAACCTCGAGCGCCGTCTTTGCGACGAGCGACGCCTGTACCGCCGCAGCCCTCGCGACGACACACACCCGGTGCTCTCCGTTCTCAGTCGCGGTGACGGAGAAGTGGCCCGCGGCGTCGGTGGACTCGAAGAGCGTAGGCGTGCCCGCTGCCGGCGAGATCACCCGCATCGATGCGAGCGTTGCATTTTCCGTGGTGGCATTTTCCTTTGCAGGCCCAAAGCTCCACTCGCCGGTCAGGATCGCTTTGGGCATGAGCAGCTCGGATATGCACTGCTCTTGCTCCGGCTGCAGCGTGAAGCTCACCGCGCACGCGCACGCGAGGAGCAGGCTGAGGAGGAGGAGGCGGAGCAGCATGCGTGTGCGTTGGACGCACGTGAAATAGCAACGGAATACCGGCCCGGGCACGGGCTGGCCAGCGCCGTGCAAACGTGTGGCGCACGTTTTCTTTTTACCCCGCGCTTCTTCTTCTTCTTCTTCGGCAAAGGCAGCGGCAGATCGTGATCTTGTTGGACCCCCTCGCGAGTGCGACGCCGCTCTCCCCTTGCCGAAAGGCCCGAACCCATGTCGCCGCTCCTCGAGGTAGCTCAGATCTCTACAATCCCCTCCTCCGAGTTCATCGCGGCGCTGGGCGGCTGCTACGAGAAGTCGCCCTGGGTCGCCGAGCGCGCGCATGCTGCGGCGCCCTTTGCCTCGCTCGCTGCGCTCGCCTCTGCGCTGCGCGAGGCGGTCGATGGGGCGACTGACGCAGAGCGGCTCGCCCTCCTGCGTTCACACCCCGACCTGGCAGGCAAGGCGGCGCTGGCGGGCGAGCTGACGAGCGAGAGCACCGCCGAGCAGTGCCACGCCGGCCTCTCCTCCCTCTCAGCCGATGAACTCGCCCGTTTCACAAAGCTCAACGAGGCGTACACGGCCCGCTTCGGATTCCCCTTCATCCTCGCGGTACGCAACGCCAACAAGGCCACCATCTTCGCCGCCTTCGAGCGGCGCGTCACCAACTCGGCATCCTCTGACCGCGGCCAACTCCAGCGGTCGCCCACACTGCAGCGCAGCTCTTCTCAACGCCCGCCCGCCCGCCCGCCCGTGCCGCGCAGGCAGCGGCGGAGCTGGCAGAGGCGGTGGCACAGGTGCACAAGATCGCATGGATGCGGCTCAACGAGCTCGTGCGGCCGAACCCGACCGGCTTCCTCACCTGCCACGTCCTCGCCACACGGCACATGGCTCTGCTGCCCCGCGTGAATCGCCTTCTTCACGGATGGTGGTGTGGCCAGGTCCTCGATACGGCGCGCGGCTGTCCCGCCGCCGGCATGCGGATCGAGCTCAAGCGGCGGGTCGAGTCGTCCAACGGCGCGCGCGGAACGCGCACACGGGTCCGCAAGACATGCGGTGCACAGACGCAGTCCACAGACGCAGTCACACATGCCGCGGCAGTCGGACCGGGAGGCGGTCGGCGATGGCGCGTGGCGAAGGCCGTCCCAGGGCCGGCCGGGCCGCTACCCCTCCGCCCGCCCGCCCGCAGGCGGTGGCGATTCGTGGGCGGAGGTTGGCTCATTCCTCACCAACGAGGATGGGCGCATCGTCGGCGCGCTGTCCGCTAGCAGCGGGGCGAAGGCGGCCGGGACGGCGCGTCGTCACGCATGCGCTGCTGCGACCAGGCGGGCCCGTCCTCAAGGACGGGGCGATGGCGCGCGGCGTGTACGAGTGGACCTTCCACGTGGGCGACTACTTCGCCGCCGCCGGCGCCACCTTCGCGCCGTGTGGCACGCCCTTCCTCGGGCAGGTGTGCGAGAGTGCACGAGATTGCACGGGAGTGCCCGCCCTCCTGCCGTGGCCGGCGAGGGGGGGGGGGGGGGGGGGCAGGAGCGCTGGAAGGAGCGTCTGGGGCGCGCGCCTCTTCTGAGTAGGTTCCCCTCCGCTTCGGAATCGACGACGCCGAGTCGCACTACCACGTCCCGCTCCTCTGCTCGCCCTTCTCCTTCTCCACGTACCGTGGCTCCTAGCCGTTTGTCCCATGGCTCCCCTGCGCCCTGGTTGCACGGCCTGTGGGATGGGCGCGATGGGAACAGGAGCGGCGGGCGACTCGGAGCGCCGCGCGCGCCGCGAGAGGGGCGGCCCCCCCCCCCGCAAAATCGGGTTCCCCCGGGGGCGGGGGGGCCCGGGGGCGG